ATATAATAAATAATACTATACTATACCATTCCCTATATATTAAATAATAAGAGGTGGCGGTGTGAAGATGAGTAGGGGGGATAGATAATACACAGTGGTGATATACGTAAGAATCACAAGAAGATTTGACACAATAACACTAATAGTAGGTGTAATAAATTAAGTAATTGCAATAAGTGCTGCAAAAGGGGCCCAAACCAAGTACTGAGTACATATGCATGCTTGTACTTTTCAGAGGTCCGATATTGTTCTATGTACAATCCTTGTTTTATTGATTGCATGTAATAATCTACTTTTTTGAGGTTGTGGATTTGGGGTTCTTAGGGTTTTCATGAGCTGTAAGCCATAATCATCACAATTATGACAAATCACAGCTTGAATTATCTTGCTTTGCATGTAATGAGTCTATCTCATATATTAGTTTCACCTTTTAAGTTGCATTAGTGAAATAAATGAACTTTGCACGATATTCTAATTATTCGAGTTTCACCTGTATATAGCGTATAAATGTGTATGTATGTGTATGTATGTGTATATATAGATACAGGTGAAACTCGAGGGGTAGCTATAGGAAGACATCAAGTAAATGAGAGATGAGGAAGGACGGTGTCTCTTTGTAAAATGTATGATAAACAGTATACGCTCGTTAATATTTATCTACCAAATAAAGGTCAAGTGCAGGCCCTGATGAAGATCTTAAATCAATTGAGCAATTTTATGGAAGGAATGGTAGTACTGGGAGGCGAATTTAATTTGACAATTAACCCTAAAATGGACACCTCTAAGGGAATATCCCAGATATCACATCTCCAACTTAACAGATTAAAACAACGCATATATAATCTACAATTTATCAGATATACACATCGTGGCCACCGATTATATATATTAATGACATTGTGAGATTCTGATCTGTCATGTAATGGTGCCTTATTGTGATCAATGTTCACCTTCTACTTCTACTGTATGTTGACAATGTTACTATGTTTTTGGGGCTGTGCCTCTATGTCTCATTGTACCTTGTTTTCTTTTATACAATAAAGCTGATTTCTGATTTAAAAAAAAAAAATCTACAATTGGTAGAAATCAGGCGTATATTGCATCCCAAGGAAAGGGATTATACATGCCACTCATGGGTACATTCATCGTATAGTCGAATCTCCCACTTCATCTCCCACTGCTTAGTGAGCTGGAAAATACAAGCGGAGAAAGGGGCACAAATATGGTCAGATCATGCTCCAAATTTTTTTTCTGTTATGTCCCCAAATACCATGAAGCCGCAGGCAATGTGGAGATTGATAGAAAAAAACTGCGCTAGGAATCAAATAACACTCTAAGAGCAGCTGTGCTAAATAGGTGAGTACACCCAAAATAGGAAAAAAGAAAATAGCACTGCACTTCAAACTCAAAAAATATATTCCTAAAATGTGGAAAAAATTGTATAAAATGTGAAATTGTCACAAAGTGATACACAATTTTGTGTCATACACAACACTTGTGCTGATGATAGTAAGAAAACCTCTAGGTCTAATGGTCTAGACACATGGGAGAAAAAAAAAATGTGCTAGTACATCTCATAAAATGTGTACATATAGAAAAATCTGTGTTAAATCTCACAAGTGATGTATGTATAACTCCCACTCAATCTACATAACCACATGTGAAGTCCATTACTTCTGGAGTTTTAACACAGGTTTTTCTATATGTACATATTTTATGAGATGTACTAGCACATTTTTTTTCCTCCCATGTTTATTATGGGTTATTGTGTCTAGACCATTAGACCTAGAGTTTTTCTTACTATCATCAGCACAGGCCTTGTGCAACACAGGTGTTGTGTATGACACACAATTGTGTATCACTTTGTGACAATTTCACATTTTATACAATTTTTTTCACATTTTAGGAATATCATTTTTGAGTTTGAAGCGCAGTGCTATTTTCATTTTTCCTAATGTGGAGATTGAATGAAATATTACTACAAGATGTAACTATGGGACAGGCGATTAGTCGGGGTATCGCAAACTTTGTAGGAGATCATAAACATGATAATACACCACCCCCAATAAAGTGGGAAGCATTGAAGGGAGTAATACGTGGGCTATTAGTGTCAAATGGGACACGATTTAAAAAAGAAAAAGAACAACATATTAAATCCTTATTGTTTGATATATCACAATTAGAAGGACGACATAAAAAGAAGGCAGATGAAGAAGTCTTTAAAAAATTACAACAAAAGAGAATGGAACTCCATCAAAGATTAGATCTAGGATACCAAAGATATAAGATAACGTAAAACGAACAATGTATGAATTTGGCAATAAAAGAGGTAGATTATTAGCGTGCTCAATTAAAGAAAAACAGCTTCGGACTAATATCCCAAAAATCAAATGCCCATAGCAGGGTATGGTTAACTCCTCAGAACAGATTGCAGAAGCCTTCTATAAGTTTTATATGCGCTTATATAATTTAAAGGGAGATAATATGGAAAGGGAGGGGAGATCAGACCAAGAGGATAGGTTGAAATATGTGACTCAGACACACCTACCAAGATTGGAGAGCGAAGCGATAGCTATGCTAGACACCCCATTTACATTTGAAGAAATATCAAGAGCCATACAATTAACGCCTCTAGGGATGAGTCCAGGGCCGGATGGATTAACTGGGGTCTTCTATAGACAGTTTAGGGGAGAATTGGTAATGTTGCTGCATGGTATGTATAATTCAATCAATGATAGTTGTGGTTTCCCGCGTCAGAGTCAGGAAGCTTATATAACGTTGATACATAAGGGAAAAAAAGATCCTACCCAGTGTGCCAGCTATTTACCTATTTCTCTGATAAATGTGGATATGAAAATATTCGCTAAACCTTTAGCTTTGCGTATACAGCCATACCTACAGACCATAATACATCCAGAGCAGGCGGGGTTTGTCCCCGGATGAGAGACGAGGGACAATAAGATTAAAACTATATAATTGATTCAATGGGCACAGTCACGGGGGCTTCCTTTGCGTTTACTATCTTTTGATAGGGTGGACTGGAAATTTATACAAGTATCGTTAGACCAAATTGAAATACCGACACTTTCAATTCAAAAAATCATGGCGTTATATACTATTCCATCAGCAAGGATACGGGTGAGTGGGGTACTATCAGAGTGGGTTGAAATTACCAATGGGACAAGACAGGGCTGTCCATTATCCCCTATACTGTATATTTTAACGATGGAACATCTAGCTATTGCACTACGTCAGAATAAAGATATCTGGGGGATTAGGAAAAAGGAGAGGATACATGAGTATTTTTGCGGATGATGTATTATTTATTATAAATCCAAGGATAGCATTTCCCCTAATCTTGGATGAGATCAAGAAGTTTGGACGAGTAAGTAATTATATTATTAATGCTGGTAAAATCGCAGTGCTTGGATATTACTCTCCCGTTGGGTGAGAGGGATATACTAAGTATTAGTTTCCCATTTGTGTGGACAATGGAAGCATTGAAGTATTTGGGGGTG